AAGAGCACTACATATATGTACTCTGTACAATAGCACTACATATATGTACTCTGTACAAGAGCACTACATATATGTACTCTGTACAATAGCACTACATATATGTACTCTGTACAAGAGCACTACATATATGTACTCTGTACAAGAGTACTACATATATATACAAGTGCATATATGTACAAGCGTATATATGTACTCAGTACAAGAGTACTACATATATGTACAAGTGCATATATGTACTCAGTACAAGAGTACTACATATATGTACTCAGTACAAGAACAATACATATATGTACAAGAGCATATATGTACTCAGTACAAGAGCACTACATATATGTACAAGCGTATATATGTACTCTGTACAAGAGTACTACATATATGTACAAGCGTATATATGTACTCAGTACAAGAGTACTACATATATGTACAAGAGCATATATGTACTCTGTACAAGAGCACTACATATATGTACAAGATCATATATGTACAAGCGCATATATGTACTCAGTACAAGCGCATATATGTACTCTGTACAAGAGTACTACATATATGTACAATATCATATATGTACTCAGTATAAGAGCACTACATATATGTACAAGAGCATATATGTACTCTGTACAAGAGTACTATATATATGTACAAGCGCATATATGTACTCAGTACAAGAGCACTACATATATGTACAAGCGCATATATGTACTCTGTACAAGAGTACTACATATATGTACAAGCGCATATATGTACTCAGTACAAGAGTACTACATATATGTACTCTGTACAAGAGTACTACATATATGTACTCTGTACAAGAGTACTACATATATGTACAAGCGCATATATGTACTCAGTACAAGCACATATATGTACTCTGTACAAGAGTACTACATATATGTACTCTGTACAAGAGTACTACATATATGTACTCTGTACAAGAGTACTACATATATGTACAAGCGCATATATGCACTCTGTACAAGAGCACTACATATATGTACAATAGCATATATGTACTCTGTACAAGAGTACTACATATATGTACAAGCACATATATGTACTCTGTACAAGAGTACTACATATATGTACTCTGTACAAGAGTACTACATATATGTACTCTGTACAAGAACACTACATATATGTACAAGAGCATATATGTACTCTGTACAAGAGCACTACATATATGTACAAGTGCATATATGTACTCTGTACAAGAGCACTCCATATATGTACTCTGTACAAGAGTACTACATATATGTACAAGCGCATCTATATGTACTCTGTACAAGAGCACTACATATATGTACAAGCGCATCTATATGTACTCTGTACAAGAGTACTACATATATGTACAAGTGCATATATGTACTCTGTACAAGAGTACTACATATATGTACAAGTGCATATATGTACTCTGTACAAGAGCACTACATATATGTACAAGTGCATATATGTACTCTGTACAAGAGTACTACATATATGTACTCTGTACAAGAGCACTACATATATGTACAAGTGCATATATGTACTCTGTACAAGAGTACTACATATATGTACAATAGCATATCTGTACAAGAGTACTACATATATGTACAATAGCATATCTGTACAAGAGTACTACATATATGTACAATAGCATATATGTACTCTGTACAATAGCACTACATATATGTACAATAGCATATATGTACAAGAGTACTACATATATGTACAAGAGCATATATGTACTCTGTACAAGAGTACTACATATATGTACAAGATCATATATGTACTCTGTACAATAGTACTACATATATGATGCACCACACTCTCACCTGGCCTGCAGCCTCCCCGCCTGCTCCTCCAACTTCTCCATCTGTTCCGGCGTCAACACCGCCTGCTCGCGACTCAGGAACCGCAGCTGCTGCGCGCACGCCGTCAGCGCCTCCTGGTGGCCCGCGACGTCGGCCTGCAGCTGCTCGGCGACGCGCAGCTGATCCTGCAGCGTGGCGTGCTCCTCGAGCGGCGCCCCCTGGCGGAGCAGCGATTCCTCGGCGCCGTCCAGCCACTGTGATAGGTCGTCATGTTTCTCTGTTTCTTCCTCGTATCTCTCAAGGACAGCAGCCTGCGGAAATAGACGAGATTCATTAGCCACAATGAAGTATTAACGAAGTAATAACAACGTAATAACAAAGTAAGTAATGGTGAAGCAGTAATTAAATAATTACAAGATGAAGTAGTAGTAAATTAATAATAATAATAATAATAATAATAAGTAGTAGGTAATAGGTAATAATAAAAGTACGATATGATAATTGCATAATGTAAGCATGATGCAACGTTGCTTGAGAACAGGTAACATTCAGCACAATATCATATTTTACAGCAGTGCTAACTGTTGAATCAGATAACAATACTCTTGTGAAAGCAACACGGACACTACATTTATACAAAAAAAAATCAATCAATCACCAAATCTATCAATCAGCAACACGCATAAAAATCTGGGTAAATTGTGGAGATTGATAACAAGTTTGTTAAAAAGAACTTATTTTAATTTTAAAGGTGTTAATTCCGATTGAACTCTAGTGAACTGACAATAGCCACATCCTCCTGTGCTCTCGTGCACCCCTGCACACGTGCCCACGCCCATTCACACGCCCACAGATAGTCATGCAGTCACACGCGTACATGCACGTGTATGGCCCTACTGTCCCTATCTACACCTCATTTACAGACTTGATGACCCCCTAGTGACATGACAGAATGACGATTTTAAGTAGCAAATACAAGTTACAAGTGAATAAGGGTAAACTTTTCGCGCGACCTACCTACCCCCAACCGGTGAAACAGGTAACCTTGGTACGTGCTCCTCACTTGCGAAACTCTCCTCTCACTCATTTCTCTACACACCAGTTTACACACACACTCACTAACCACACACTCAGTCACTCACTAACAACACAACGATCACAAACCAATTTTCACAGTGTATTTACAATCGAAAAACACACCGCCGCGCACAACCGAGAACATTTCAAGGCGAAACGCGAGAGGCCATTTTCTCTCCCATCTAGTCTAGATTACTAGTCTAGTCTAGGCCTACTATATAGTTTATAATCACTGACCATCGTTCCATCGTTGTCGTGCTATTGGTCATCATAACAAGACTGATAACTCTGCCACGATAACGGAATCCAACTGTGTATGCTTACCAAAGATAGATCACGACACTCGCCCAGCAATATATCATCACCACGACACTGTATCAACCGCACATGTACACGCTCCAATATTTCTCACCGGATTTTGCCGGTCGACACATGTACACGCTCCACGGCACAATCCTAGTTTGGGCCCCCTGGCCCTCATTTTCGCATATGTGGATTGATTCTTTCATTCTACTGCTCACCGGATTTGATTTTCCTAGTCTAACTGGCATATTCCACGCGTCTAACACAAGCTCCACACTTCACGTTATATTATTATTCACGTATACGTCGGTTAAACCACGGATAAATGACAGACGGACGAACCGCGATCGACCTACCGCCACCGCTGCTCCGGCAACGCAACACCTACGGGAACAATCCTAGTTTAGCACGGATTAGTTTAGCATGTATATGAGAACTAACTATATATATATATATATATATATATATATATATATATATCCACGACCCCTGTTGTCACCGCCTGCTGCAGCGTCAGCATCGTCCCCGTCGTGCGGCTCGCGCGCGCGCCGCCGTCGCCGCGTCACGACCCCCGTCGCCACGGCGACGTCGAGCGGATCGGTCCGCGATGGGCCGCAGGAGTCCTCGCTCGAGCGCGTCCGGGAGCGCGTGGGCGGCCCGCGTCGGCGGCGTCCCGCACGGCGCCGGTGGACAGACGTCGACGCAGCCCCGCTGCACCGCGCGCCGCGAGGGTGCGCGTTCGCGCCGCGCGCGATGTCGTCGTACACGTACGACGTAACGTCGCAGACGACCCCGTCGCGGATCGCGTGCGACAGCGTCTTGCGGTCGCCCGTCGCCGGGTCGGCGATCAGTCGCGTTTTCGCGTCGTAGAGTCCGTACTGCGTCGCCTGGTAGAGCGACAGCGGCTTCGTCGTCTTGACGACGCGTCCGGTGCGCATCGCCTCGTTAAGGTCGATCGTCTGCTCCTTAGCTTCCGCGTACGCGCCGGTGACGGGATCGAGGAGGCCGGTTTTCGTCGCCTCGGCGACGGTGACTGCGCGGCCCGTCCGAGCGTCCTTGATGGCCGGGGTCGTCGCGCGGACGAACGTGCGCGACGCGGTCGCCATGGTTACCTCGCGGTTCGTGAGCGGGTCTCGGAAGCGGCGCGTCTCGGAGTCGTACGCTCCGGCCGCGAGCGCGTCGTAGAGGGATGCTGCGTCGTAGTGAATCCCCGCGCGCTCGAACGCGTGGCTCTCCACAAGCACTCCCTCGTCCAACGCCTCGTCGAACGACATCGGCCCGCGTGGGCAGCACGCACGTCCCGCCGCAGCGTCGATCAGTCCCTCGGTGATGGCCTGTGCGAGCGTGTGCGCCTCCCCCGTCGCCGGGTCGCGGATCGTGT